CTTACACCTGCTGCTCAACTGCCAAGGAGCCAGGGCTCAGCGCTCCTTCAAGCCTTTTTACTACACAAACCTTGTTTCAGAAGTCATACTTTGACGCTTTGGAAACACATTTGTGATAATCATGTCTGCCAAGCACAAAACTATTTTAGTTCTATACCAGAGAATAAGAATTTATTTTTCATTTTCACCTGAAGTGTGCAACCTCCTCTAGACCTGTCAAGCACATTCTCCTAGCAAGTGGCAAACAATTCCAGGCTGGAAGAATGATGAAGATCAGACTGTTGGATAATCACAGAAAAGCAGAGAACTCAGAAGTCTCTTCCCACTGTCATTCCACTCTTTCATCACAAAAAAAAAGTGTCATTTTCCAGCCTTCAGGAATTCCAGTCTTCAGTCCTGATTTAGTTACTTTTTAGCTAAGGGCAGATTTCAGCATTTACTTCCAGCCTTGCTGGGAATATGAGTATGTACTTTTGAATCAGCTCCAACCAAGCAGCACAACTTAAGCGGGAAAACACACTTCACCAAAAAGAGTATCTCAAAAAGCAAAAGCTACTCCATTTTTCTTTATTGCACAACGTTTTGCAATATAATTCACAATCTAAATTATTTGCCCCCTCTGCAAATAATCAGTAACAAGTAGAAACATGTATCAAAAATGTTCCTGAATTGATCAAACAGAAATATTACAGATGTTAGATGTTGGATACTACAAAAACACAAAAATAGTCAATGCAATGGTAAATATAATTTTGATGGATGGAGACGGTAAAAAGTCAAAAAATGTCAAAAAATTACACATTGCACATTTTTTGTAGGTCAGTATTTCAGATAAGGCTGCAACACTAAATTTATTGGGTTTTTAAAATATTAAGATAAAAATTGTATTCTTCCTAACATAATCCTTTTAGGCAGGCAAATAGTAATAATCAATTAACTTGAAGTCACTGAACTGAACTTGCCCATCACACCAAGTATCCTTAACAAGGTTCCTTTATAGGGGCCTTCAGCAAGAAAGCCTCAAGCACACAGAACTCATTTCCGCTCTGCCCAAACACTGGACAGGCTGTGAGAACACTGCAGAAAACTTCAGTAATTATTTATAAACTGCGTCACTTCCAGATTTTGCATCAGATGCATTTCAGAGCACAAACATCAGCCCCTCTCCCCCAAAAAACACAGAATATGAGTTCCGCTTTTTGTTCAAATCTGAAGGAAATGCTGCTGAAGAACCACATTTTGCAATGTGTTTGATTTCCAGAATGTAATCGAGATTTAGGATATATATCATATATGAATGCTAATTTTTTTAGCTCAATACTGGACTTGTTGTTGCTCTTCAGTTACTGCTGTCCTCAATTTACTCAACATTGGCTCCACCAACAGAAATAATTTTATTCAGAAAGGAAAATATAATTGGTTTAGAAGTGCATACTGTAGAGGGCAGAACTGCATTATAAATTAACATTCTTATTTCACATTCCATTTCACACTCCATATTAAGCCTTGAGGGCTTAATCTGTAATCATGTGAATGACAATCAATATACCTTAGAAGGACCACAAATAGGAAGTAAAAAAAGGGACAGACATGCAAGTAACAGTGACAATGGTCTCAGTAACAATGCCATGCCAAGACTGGCACTGGCCAGGACAGGAGGGCTCACTCTCAAGTCATACTGGAACACGGCGATATTACTCCTCCATGCTCTGAGGAGGAAGCAGGGGTGAGAAAGGAGACATTTCCACATTCATCTATTTACAGGCAATCATTCACCTACTTATAACTGCCTGGGAGTTCCCTCAGAATTAAAAAGTGAGATTTGAAACTATTGTGACAAAACCATAAACAAATAAGCCTAATGGCACCACTGGAGCTGTTGGCCACACACCATTCGTATTTACTAAATTCATTTTTAAAAAGTGCTCATTAAATAGGGAGCAAATTGCTAAAGGCACAGGTTGACTTAGGTTCTTGTGCTATATTGTAAGATTGAACTATCTTTAAAAAACAAAACAGCAAACACACAACTCTTCAGCTAAGCAGACTGTGATTACACTGATGTGATAGACTCAATTACTGAACTGCCAGGGGGCCTAATGCTGCTGATACAGAAGCAAAATTACACATAAAATTACCGGAATATTCAAGATATCTCTTGATTTCTCAAGAACCATGATTTTATTTTCTCTTCAAAAGTTCATTAAAAGCAACACAAGATCTGTTTGGGCAGCCATAAGACAGATTCAGATAAATAATAAACTAAGGATTTCCTTCCCAAAGTGCTGCAAGGACAATTCACAGTTAAAAACAAACAAACAAAAAGAAATAAACAGTCAGAAATTGTCACTATGCTTTAGCCATATAATTTAAAATACAAAAATATGCCTTGGTATTTGCAAATTAAGTATTGGCAAGGTGTTATGTAAGTTAGATGCAAAATAAAATCCCAAGCTATTTTTGATAAATCAACAGAAGTTGTGCTTCAACATAGCTCTTACTGACTTTACTTATATAAAGATAGAATATCCTGGATTTACAGTAATACTGCAGATCCTACTGACTAAGGGTTGGTGATATGGGAAAGAAATTGTTTACATCCATACTGGCCAGAAGCTGGGTTTTTTTAAAATATTTGTTTCAAGTACCACAGAATTGAATTTCAGAGTCACTGACTTAAAACAGAAAGTGAAACTCTGCAAAGATTTGTGACCCAAGCCCCCATCTCCTATGCCCCAGCCTAGAACCTTGTTCATGGGGATATTTGCATGAGAAATAGAGATAACTGCTACAGAAATACCAATAACTGCATGACTGTTGCCTCTGAGGCAGCTGCTAATTCCCCATTGAGCTCCAGGCCACACTAACACTGTCAAGGATGTCCATGATTCATCAGCACAACACTGCTTACCACTTGACAAAAATTTCTACAGATCAAGTCAAAATACAGACTACGGGTCTTTTGTTTACAAGCATCTTTTGAAAGACGTCTAAAATTTGTATTTCACCAGGATTCATTCATAAACCAGGACTACATTACATCAGGATTCTCCCGAGATGGTACTTACACAGACCCAGATTAATTATTTCAGTACAGGATTTCAGAGCAGCAAGCAATACAGCTATTTCTGCAAGAGACAGCCCTTAAAACATTTTCACACCACCATTCACAATAATAATTCAATTCTGATGGGAATTTCCGAGCTTTACTACATCCTAAAACAGAAAGACAAGATCATTGCAGACAGCTCTGACAGACTGTTGAGATTCATAATAAACAGACAAAAAAACCTACCAAAAAGCACAGCAATAATTAAAAGCAAACAAAAAGTACAGATCCTTGATGGATCAGCTTCAGGATACAGAAAGTCTTTTTAATAATATATTGCCTATATGCCTACAATGCTTCTTTCTTTCTTTCTGAGCGCTTTGGTCATTGTTAGATACATTTTTATGCTACTACAAAGAAAACTCCAGCTTCCATTATTTCATGGAACCTCTTTTTATTTCCAGGTACCACCATGGACAGTCTCCTATTCCAAACAATATGCCAGCTATTCATAACCCACGGGGAAATAAAATCCTCAAAATAAAACAAAATCCCCCACAGCATGAATTCACTCAAACAACATTTTTAAAAGCCACTACTATTTGTGCACAAAAGATCCTGGGCCTCTTAGTAATATTTTCGTCTAGCACATTATTTAAAATTATCCATTTTCAGCAACTACCCCAGCAGCAAAAAAATCACAAAGAAATGGAGATGACCCACAATATGAGAGAACCTCCGTGGAAAATGGAGCTTTGTTTTCTAGGAACCATACAGAAAAGTGCCTCCATGTTTATTTCACCTAAAAGCCTGGGTAAATCCAGGCCCACACTCACGATACCCAAGAGTTAAACCAATACATCAAGCTCTCCACACTCACTGCTGGATGCTCACACATCCCTCGCACCCGCACTTGGAACCACATTCCTGCTGAGCCGGGACCGCGATACCCCAGGAGACACAGCTATTACTGCAAGAGATCGGACACCCGTGAAGGTGCAGCCCAACCAAAACGGAGCTCTCATTCCCCCGAGTGCGAACTCAAGCGCTTCCATCACCCTGCACACCCTGCTGCGGGCACAACAACTGCAATTCCCCATCCTTAAGGCACGTACAAACCGACACAGGGGACAAATGCCCGATTCCCTGAGACCGCCCCTCTTCCCTATAGGCACACAGACCGCAGCACCATCCCCTCTCCGCACGGCCGCGGACCCGGCAGCCCGGGCACACAGACAGCGCCGGCTCCGCTCCCACCACTCGAGGGGAAAGCGACTTCCACTCCCGGAACACCGAGCACCACGGTGAGCTCGGACACGCACGGCCGGGCGGTGAAGGGAACCCCCCTGCTGGCACAGCCCTATGCGCCCGCACACACAAACACACACACACGAGCCCTGTGCCCTTCCACACTCACACACACCCCGGTGCTTTCGCACACGCTCACACGGAGCCGCTCCCTCCCACCTCCCCAGGCACCTCCGGGTCCCCCGCTCCGCTCGCACACAGTAGGCTCAGCGCGCCCCGCTCAGAGCCCACACCAGCACGGACGCTCGCCCCACACTCAGGCGGCAGAACCGGCCCCCAGTGCGCCCAGCGGGGCAGCCCCGACACCGCAGCCCCACATCCTCCACACCCCGTCCCGGTGCCTGCACGGAGAGCCCCCCAAACGCGGAACCTCCCCACAGTCCATCACTGCTCCCGCACAGCGGGGACCCCGCTCCTCACCCAGAGCGGCCGCTCCCGTGTCACCCCCTCGGCTGCCCCCACAGCCCTCCCCTGCCACCGCGGGAACCTCCCCGCTGCATCCCCGCACCAGCGCCCCACACCCGCCACCGCCCGGCCCCAGCGGCCACCACAGCAGTACGCGCCCCTCGCCCTCACCGCCGGGCCCGCAGCAGCCCCGCAGGACGCCCGCGGCCCCGGCCCGGCGCTGCCAGGGCCCCCTCACCTGCTTGCGTGGTGTCGCTCAGGTCGCAGCCGCTGCCGGGGAAGTCGCGCAGCTTCCTCCCGCTCAGGCACAGGATGCCCGAGCTGCCCGCCTCCTCCAGGGCCCGCTCTAGGCTGCGCACCGTGTGCGACTGCGGCAGAGCTGCCGCGCCCCAGTGCGGCCCGGACGAGAAGGAGAGAGTAAGGTGCGCGGGGATGCCGAGCCCCGCCGCTCCGCAGCCGGGCGCCGGCCCGGTGCCGATGCCCGTGCCGTTGTTGCCGCCGCCGCCCCCCTGCCCGGCCGCCATCTTGACCGGCCCCTCCACAACAACGGCCGGGGCCGCTGCGCAGGCGCCGCGGGGCCCGCAGGGGGCGCCGCGGGCCGGGGCGGGGCTTCGCCGTGCCCCTCGGCAGCGACAACCAATCCGCGGCGCCAGCGGCGACCTGGGTGCGCGGGGCTCCTGGGCCGCTAGGGGGCGCTGCCGGGGCCGAGGGACCGGGATCCTTTTGGCAACGGGGGCAGCCCGGCAGGGATGGTCCCGTAGCCGGGACGGGAGCGGGCGCCGGGGCCGTCTTTCGGGACGGCGCAGCCCTGCTGGGAGGCTTCGGAGCCGCAGGAACACGGGGAACGTCGTCTCGGCAGCCCCGGCGCCGCTGCCGCGGGGCCCCTCGCCTCTGCCCGCTGCCCTCAGGCACCGCTCGGCCTTGCGGTCGCCTCTGCCCCGGCACCGCACAGCATCGGCCGCTCCTCAGGCCCGCAGCTCTTCTGCGCCGGGAGCATCAGAGCCTCCGTGGCCTCTGCCTCGCAAACACGGCCTCCGGCAGAGCCGGCCACGGATTGCGGATCCCCCGCGAGTGGCAGCGACAAAAATCACCCAGCAACCGTCCGTGGCACAACAAAGGGAAAACGAACGAGCCGCTCACCCTGAAATGGGTGAAGGAACACTCACAAAAGCCCCACAGACACGAATGCCCGTGGCTCAGAATGTGAAAGGCCACTGAGGACACACAAATCACAAGCCCGTTGCAAGGTCCAGGGCCCAGTTACCTGAAGAAAATGCTACAGAACTGCTGCGATACTGGATGGATGGATGGATGGATGGATGGATGGATGGATGGATGGATGGATGGATGGATGGATGGATGGATGGATGGATAACTGCCTCCTCTACCATGTAATCAGGCCTTGTTAGGTGCTGCATATTTATCTTCCAAAAATTGCTCTGGAGCTGTGATCAGGAAATGCTAAAGAAAGCCCCATAGATCCACATTTTTATGCAATTGCTGTGTGCTTGGTAACCAGAATCTGCTTTTAAGCCTTGAACCTCAAGGAGACCCTTGCATTCTTGAATTGGTTTGGGTTGGTTTGGGTTTATTTTTGCATGCATATGTCATGCCTAATTTGGGGATCTAAAGGGAAATTCCCTCTACAGGGGGTATGGAAGAGACTGGCCTTCAACCAGCAACATGTCACTGACAGACAGTTGAGCTATTATTGATCACAAAAGGACCAGACCTGAAATATTATGTGGGTGATGTCTGGGTGAAACTCAGTAGAACCAATGAGCCAGGATCAGTGAACAGGTCCTGAAGAGTGAAGGAAGGGTTCAGTCCTGTGGTGCAGTACTGTGTGGATTTAGGAATCACCCAGATTGCCCTTCCAACAAAGAGCTCTGGGTGCAAAATACAGCTGTGGGGGAAAAAGGGGTCCCATTGTCACCTGCAAATAGTGTGGCTGTCTGCTTCCTCTGGCCTTAGCTGTGGGTACTTGCGGGGGCTGTGGGATTCAAGCTTACAGCTTACAAGCTTCTGCTCTTGCCCTGAAAAAGCCAACCATTCCCTGGATTCACAACAAGAAAATACAAGGCTAACCTGCATAAACACTGCTGGCTGCTGCCCTTGGTTGAGGTTCCAGCCAGAGGGTGGAGGGTGAATAAACTCAGAATGGTGTTGGGCCAAATGTGCAGGATGATTTTGCTGGCAGACATGGAGCAGGAGGCACAGTGGCTCTGTAGCTGGCAAGAGTGAAGCAGAGCAGGAGCCAGGACCAGCTCCAGCATGTAAATTCTACTAAACGTTAGAGATAGTTACTCTGAGTTCCTAACGTTTGTGGCTCGGCACACGGCCAGCTCAGAGATGCAGATTGGTTCTCCTCCCTCTCAGCCATACCACTCAGTCTCTCACTGTTTAGAGCCCGTTAGCCAAAGAAAGAGGTCAAGCTCTCTTTGTATGAAATAGGCTTGACAAATTGCCAAAGGGTTAAAACATTTATTTGTCACCAGAATTCTCACATATGAGGGGCCTTTTTATCTTTAACTAAATACTCACTGTCCCTGCAGGTGCTCCTACAAAAAGCAAGCCAAGCTTGCTCAGTCAGCTCAGACACACTCTCACATCTTCAAAGGAACTGAAGTTTCCCATACAGTCGGCTGGAAGCAATGTCTGATGCTTTTACTATCAGGTCACCTAAAATTCCCAATCTGCAAACTGTTTTGACCAAATTGCTGCTTACTCAGGCAAAAGCTTGAAAGCTGATTGCATGTTCCTGTGGTGGAGCAGATTTACCTGTAGGGGTCATTTATCACCTCCAGTAGCTGCAGAACCAGAACAGATGTCTGGAATGCTAAAGTCTAATTACTTTTATTTATAATGGATTTCACAGCCTTTCAACAGTTCTTTTTCCTCATGCCCTCCTTTCTTTGTCATTTCACAAGCAAAAACAGGGTTACTAGTCTAGTGGAAGAAGGCTCCCCAAACCAACCTTCTTGGCACAATGAGCAGTAAGCCATAGCTGTGCCATCCCTCAGTTTCTCCTATAAAACAGAGATTGTTGCATTTTCTTATTTTTATGGAAGTTGAGTACAGGAAGAGGTGGAAATGCTCAGATGTTGTCATGGGACTGTACAAGACAAGTATATTTTCTTGCAGCCATGCCAGACAGAGTTGAGTTTCAGGAGTTTGAAAATTTCTGGAAATCCCACATTTCCATGAAGAGCTTCCACTTTGAAAGATTTTGTTGTTACCCACATCTGCTCCAGATGAGATGAAAGGTCATAAAGATATGACTTCAACAAATTTCATGTTAATGCCTCGAGGAATGAGATCTTGATCAGGCTTTGATCTATCTAACTTTCAACAGGGAATGCAAGACGTGTTTACTCACAACTCTTGCAGTGAGGTAGCCCTTGGCACAGCTGGCCCAAGCCATGCTCAGAACAAGAGAGTGAGAGCTGCAAGCCCATCCTGCTGCTCTGGTGCTGCACCTCCTCTCAACCCTGCTCAGCATCATTGCTAACAGACCCAGAGTTCCCCAGGACACTGCCTTCTGCAGAGAGCCAGATGGGATTATCTGTAACACTGGTGTGAAACTGATTATGACAGCAGGGACAGCAAGAGAGGAGTCCTCGGTTACCTTTGTCACTCTGCAGTGTGTGCTGCAGGTTGTGTCCCAGGGCAGGCCAGCATCTGTGGTAAGGACATGAAAGCACAGTGCCAAAGCAATGCTACCCAGGGCACAGTGCAGAGTGATGCTCCTTCGACACCTCCACAGTTCTGGCAGGACTCTGCCAGGCCACACAAGCTCTGGGCACCTATGGCCAAGCAACAGGGATTGTCAACAGGAGACCCCTGAAGCTTTCACTGTTCCTGAGTTAAGTACTTGAGGTCAAAGCAGCCTAGATTGCCATTTGCTTAGAGAAATTAAATCCTCCTGAAATGTCAGCACTGACCTTTTTAGCATCCTTTAGAGACTTCCTTTTGCTTTAAGCAATTAAACAAGAGCTTTCCTACTGTTTTTGCTGTGCTTCTTTTTAAGTACACTCAGTACTCCACCATGGGTGAGACACTGAGGTAACACAGTCACTGTTCCTTCAACACCCCCATGATCCTGGTGCCACCTCCTTGATGTCTGTTCAAATCCTTTGTGTTTACTTTGCTTATCAGCACATGCTCTATGTGTCATGAATATTGCTCTTCTTCTTGGAGACCTGCAGGTGTGCTTCCCACAGGCAGTTAAAATAATCTCCAAATACCTGGATTCAAGATTCATACTAAAGTGGCATCATCTGGCCCATTTTGAAAGTGAAGCAAGCAAATTATACATATATTCTTTCTTAGATCAAAAGGCAAATTCCACTCTATCTCTGCTAAAGGACAGTAATTTATCTGAAACAACATTTGAAAGAGCTAGAAAGAGCTCAGAATACTCCAGCATCTGATGCTTGAAAAAAAAGGAAGTGAGCAGGATTCTGTCTAGCTGCCTTGGCAAGCAATATCTGTTCTTAATGTCTTTTTGTACAGACCACAATAAGAGACCAGATTAATTAATGAGAATATTCCCAATGCCTTTCCCATTGGGAGCATCTGATTCATTGCACAGCTAGCAATGCTTCATTGAGCATGAGGAAACACAGTTCTGAAGGCAGTGGGAGGGGAGCATCTCTCCTTAAAGATGTCATTTCAATCCCCACCTATTCCAGCTACACGCACTGGAAATACCTTCTTGTGGTGCTGGAGACACCTTTGTCCTTCGCTGATCATTTTGGTGTGATTTCAAATAGGATTTGTCTTTTTATTCTATTTTGAATAACTTATTTGCTGTGCAGTAGAATACTTGCCTTGCTTGTTTCTTGGAGAGGTTAGAAATGTAGCCCTTTCAATGAAGATTTACTTTAACATTGAGAGATCTCTAAAGGCGGCATAAAGTGAAGCTACTCCTACACGACGACAAGCAGCACAGCCAAGGGTGGTGTACCTGTGGATCTCCATTTACTGGAATGTGGCTTGGCTGGTTGCAGATTGCACTGAAGCTTCCAGCTCCTTGTCATCCTGTACATGTGCTTTTTTATGGGCTGACTGTGGGACACTGCATACTCCAGAGGTACAGCTTATGGGTGTTGTAGGAGTGGTTTTGCATGTGCCAGGCTGAGATGACAATTGTAATACACATAGAAAGAGAGAGGGAGAAAAAGCCAACAACCTCTCTCTAAAAAACTTAGTTTTGCTCTATGCAGGCTGCCTCTGCTAAATTTGTAAGAAGCAAAGCAAGGATTTTGTCATTATCCATGGTTGATCTTGTTTTCCCTGAGCAGAGTTCAGCAATGTGTGTACCTCAGCCACTTTATAGCATACGGTGGCTGACGAATACTCAGTAACCTTCTGCATAAAAACTGAGTTATCATCATCAATGTAGTTCATTCTGGGAATGGCTAAAATAAAGAAATATTGGTGCAACTAGAATTTTCTTCAAAGAGCCTGAAGAAGTGTTTAGTTTTCTTCCATCTTCTCAAGAAGATGATTTTCAAGTGGTAACATATGGTTGAAAGGCCATGTTCAGCATCTAACAATAAAACATAAGCTTTTTCTAGTGGTGGTTCACCACTAGCGAAAGAGCAAGCTATTGTAGATGCACTGCTACCAGTGTTCCTCGTGAAGAGTTGAGAATGATGGTCCTGGGGTTGTCATAAATTAAAAGGCCTAAACATCCCCCTTGTGGGCAAAATACAGTGTCACAAAAGTGATCAGAGTTTTGGCCCGTTGAATTGACTGTTTATGCTTTGAGCAACTCTGGGAGAGGCTGGAAAGCCTCCATACCCTCAGATAAAAAATGTGTGCATGCAGATTCCAAGCCTTTCCTTGACACATATTCCTACAGCTACCCAGGCTTAGTTCCCAAGAAAAAGACTAAAACATTTATGAGCAATTGAGTCATGTAGTTTTGGGTCCATTTCACAGAAAGTGAATAGTCATATATTTTGTCATTTTGTATTAAATAACTGTGATATGAGGTACCCCTGGGAATAAAAGACAAAGTGACCAGTGTTAATTTTGAGGTCGTGGCATAAGATTTGTTACAACTATAAATAATGACAAGTAATTTAACATGCAGAAGATTCACTAAATCTACTTAGAGACCAAGAAACATTTCAGATAATACAAGTGTTTGCTGGCATGTGTTCCTTTCTCCCACTGAGTTTATTTTTGTTTAATTTTAACTAAAAGCCTTCTAGGGTTCTTTGGGGTTTCATTATATGACAAGAAGAGCATCTGATAAATTGAAAGGCGCAGTGCCCCAAAGTAACTCTTGTGGAACAAACTGGTCCTGCCTGTGCCTAACAAGGGGAAGGAATAGTTGGTGCCCTTGGCAGAGGTGCCTCCGTGCTCTTTGAGGGCTCAGCTTGATGGTTTGTTGCCACAGTATCAGTGAGTCAACACAAAACACTTCTAGAAAAAAGCATAGCATAAATACTTTTCCCCGCCCTTTCTTAGTTTCTTTCTTCATTGTTTGTTTATTAATCTCGCTTTTTAGTTGTGAAAGTCACATTCCTGACATTCCTTTTTTAGGATGCAGGGTCAAGTCTCTCTGCCAGACACCTGCAGTCCTCTCCGTTGCAGGGGGATTGTGCTGTAGAGGGGGTCCTGGCTCCTCAGGTCTTTTCACCAACTCCAGAATGTGTCACCTCCACTGTTGACGTGAGAAATTACTCAGGACTGAGATGATGGTAGTGCTTAGACATACTAAGCAAATGGGACACTTGCCAAGATGTTAAGAGGTCACAGACTGGCAGTTGAGAGATAAGAGCACTGTGGACACACACATTTAGAGTGCTAGGGAATTACAGCTTAGAAATTCTTTTCAGGCCTGGATTTCTCCTGACTCTCAGGTCCATTCCCAGGCTGACAAGCTGACTGCAGCTTCAGTTAGGGAGGAAGTCTCCCAGGGTGATAATATGGTGAAAAATTAACACCTGGTGTCTTTCCCGTGGGATACATCCTGAGGTACTGTCCCAAGGATGTTTTTCCCAATTGTCCAATAAACTACTGTCCTGTCCTAGCTGCACGCAACATGCTTTAAATACGGGCTGTCTTTACAATAAAGTTGGCCTTTTTTCCCTAAAGAGGTCCGTGTGTGTTGCTGTCCTTTCTCTCTCTTTGCAGCACAGTAACCACAGAGCACATATCAGCTCATACTTCCCAGATGAAGAAATATGGGTTGGAAAGGTTTTATAATTGCCTTTAATGCTGTGCACTTGAAGGAAAGCAGCTAATTAAACCTCTCAGCTGGTGAAGTGGAATTTGCAGCAAAAGCTGTGTTGTAGTTCCATGAAAAACATGTCCTTTGAATATTTTAGAAGTCGCCATTTCTAAACTCTGCCTTTGTTTTCTTTGGTGTCAAATGTTTGCTTCACTAAATGTGATCAAATAGAAACACTGCTGGAAATCTCTCAGCTGTTGCTTCCAGAATTTCTGAAGATACAAGTGTGCAAGATTATACAGAAAGACAGGAAAGCTTTCATGACACTGACCTCCCAGAGTGATCAATTCCAGCCACTGCAGTTGCAAAGCTGGGAAGACTGGGTCATTCAGCTCACCGCTGGCCTGTACCCAAGGAGACTCTAGATCCTGCTGTATTCCTTCCCTCGTATCTCTGGACAGCTGCTGCTTTGCAGGGCACTGCCCAGAGCCCTGCTCCAGCACCCTCCTTAGGTGCTAGAAAATGATGCTGCTTTAAACCTCCTCTCCCAGTGTATTACTAAAATCTGGGCTTTTACGGGTACTTCCAGCCCTTCCCCAGCAGCCACAGCTTCTGTGGATACTCTGGCCAAATTGCTGGGAAATCTCAAGGAGTTTCTTTGGAGGAAAGCTCTTGGACTAGTGCAGCATTAGAGCCAGGGTTCCCCAGAGAACAGCAGAGACCCCAGCACACCTTGTGTGCCACAGAACATTGCAAACAAGGTATCATGACCCCGGTTCCTCACATCTCACATCAATCTGCTTCTATGGTCATTTTGCAGTGTCACTGCAAAATACAGCAAAGGTTATTTGTTGCTCCCTCAGCACTGTTCTATCATTTTCTTTCGTGAAAGAACAACTCCCTAAATCAACACCTTCAGAAGCACTTGACCTTTCCAAGAGCTGTACACATATGAAGAGGCAATTCTTGCCCTGACTGATCTGCGTCTAGAAATTTCTCTCCCATTTGAAGTGCAAGGTGGAAAAAAGAAACTGTCTTGAAAATTCAAAACATGCAGACACTGTTCACTATTTATGTGGCTCCTATTCTGTACGTGGTGAGAAAGTTCATTTCATAGCGTTTATCATATAGAAACTTCAGAGAAAAAGCATGCTCCTCACTTGATGCATGGCAGCCCTCTGGAAGATGTCGGTTCTCCTATCTATTTTTTATTTTTTCACCTGTCTTTAAAAGTAGAGGAAGATGATTTAGCTCGCATTTTGTATTCAGACTGTAAGATAGCTTCGGTGCCATAACCAATGTGTCAGAGACGGAAAGACCCCCTGAGGAATCTGAGTTCTGTGAGTGATCGAGATGGTGCCCCAAGACCAGTCCCAAATGGGTGCTTCCTCCTCCAGGTGTTCATAAATACGAGAACAGACCTCAGGCACGAATACGAACCACGAGTATCTCTGTAGAGTTGCCTTGTTTTTCTGGTCTTCAGAACGAAGCAAAGTTATTCCGTCGTTCACATGTCTCAGAATTGACTGCCGGGTTGTAGTTAAAATACATCTGCTGCTGGCATAAACCCCGGAGGAGAAGGATTCGGGGGGAGAAGAGGAAGAGTGTCCGCCCAGAGGCTGGGGCACGGTGCTTAAGGCAGAGAGAGATACAGAGGAGGTGCTGATGGACAAGATCGCCGGGGACGGTGCGGAGGGCAGGGAACCAGGGCAGGGCTGAGCGCAGGCAGGGGAGCAGCGCTGGCTGCAGGCGGCGCAAGGGCCGCTTAGTGCGGGGGACACGGGAGTCGGGCAGGGAGGGCCGGGAGAGCCGGGGCGGGCGGGGGCTGCTGCGGGGCCTGCACATTCCGGGCAGGCGCACTGAAGGCACAGCACGCCGGGCCCATGGCAGCGGTGGGGCCGCAGCCCGCGCCGGGCCCCGCGGCGGGGCCGCAGCCGGGGGCCGAGGAGATCGACATGTCCCTGGGTAGGTGCTGGGCGCTGCCGGGCGGCGGGGCCGGGCCGGGCCCCGCGGGGGCTCCGTGCGGACGGAGAGCCGGGGTGGTTGTGTGCGAGATGGGCCGGGCCGGGCTCGGGCCGTGCGCTGCCCCGCCGTGCGGGTGCCCTGTCCGGGAGGCGTGTGCGGGGCCCGGCCCCGGCGCTGGGCTGGCAGCAGCCCGGAGCTCAGGGGAGAGGGGAGCAGCCCCTGTGACATGGGAAGGGGAGCCATGGCCTCTCCGTGCTGCTATTTATAGCAGCTCGCTGCGATGCTCGCCATTCCTTTGGCACGGGGAATGTGGACTGTGCATAAACAACCAACAACCGCCCTGTCATGAACTCCCCAGGCCTGCATTCTGACGCATGGACAAAGCATCTTGGTGGATTATCGTGCTGGCGTCACTACTGTGAAAGAAAAGTCCACCAGCACCTTTTATTATTGGTTAGCTTCCTAACGGAAACCTTGTGCCATTTCTTCCCAGAGAAGAGCCATTTGTCAGGAACAGAAACATTTTCCACTGCAAAATCAAACTGATCCCTCAGTTTATGCACCCGTGTTTTAATGGCTCTGTGAGGAGCTATAACAACACTGGATCCCTCATTTTTGATTTTTTTTTCTCCCATAGTGTTGTACACTTTTTTTATCTTTGCTGATGTGTGATGCTCCCGTTGCTTTTGCTCTGCCTTAGTGCTGCTCTATGTCAGATCTCCTGTGGTCCAACTCCATACTCCATCCAGAATATGCCTTGCTCAGGGTAGAAGAGAGAATTGGAAAACAAGAGGCCCCTGATGAAGAACTTTTTCCATCATGTGGTTTTTCTGTGCTTTCAGATACATTTGTGCCTTACATGAATTAGCACTCATAAAAAAAAACTGCAGGAGTTGCCTTAAAGCTGCCCTGATGGATCTAGTTCTGCCTCGAGGGCATAGATGTACCCATAAATGACCTCTCAGGATCCCCTTGCAGCCTTGTGTCCTTTACATCACTCTGTTAATCCCATCATGTTTATGGGCACAAAAGGCAGGGTAACAACTCATACCCAAACAAAAAAGACACTGAAAGATGACAAATCAGGCACCTGAGCATTCAGCCCCTCTCATTTCCTCATTCTGTGGACAGCCCACCCTTGGATGAGTGTGGACACCTCCCTGAAGAGCATGCAGGGATGCTTTCAAGACGCTTCAAAGCATCCTGTGCTCCAAATCACACGTGTCCCAAAGGCATATTTAGCTGAGATTATTAGCAAATTCATCCCAAGTACATGGTCCAGCAACTCCCAGCCTATTATTTTCCTGGCAGATTTGAAAGAGAAATCACAAAAGCAGCCTATTATTACATCTGCTCACATTTATTTTCCTTGGGCTTTGTATTCATTTGGACACAGGAGTTTCTTGATAGGAAATGACAAAGAACCAGTGCTGGAGGTATGATAATTCATGGGAAGCACCCACTGAAAGCTGATGGTACTTTTGTCCTTAGACTCCAGTAATACAATAAGGAGCTGGAGTGGCCACTGCCTGGGAGAGGGCCTGTTTTAGACACTTCATTTCTTGCTCATTTGTTCAAGTTAAAACATTGTGCCTGCAAATTCACAGATGAGCCTTTATTATTTGCAAAGTATTTTCTGGAAGATTTCAGGTTAAAGGAAGAAAATATTGGAAAATACGAATTAACGAACAGACATCCCTTTGGCTTTGCCATTCCTCTTCATCAGAATATCTTGAATTAAGAAGATCCCATTGATTGCAGACCAGCTGATTGAGAATGGAAGGGCCTGAGCTGTTTCTTGATAGAGCTCTGCATCTGACAGTACTTTGTGCATGATCCAAGTAGCTCAAGAGCTGTTACATCCTCCCCCCTTTGGCCACCTTTCCTACAGCCACTCAAGTCATACGTCAAAAAAGGTCTCTGCCAGCACTGAGCTCCTGGTGCCCCTGCAAAAACATTTTCCCTTAGGCTTGTAGGAAGCCTGCAGGATCAGATCCCTTGGTGGACGGGATCTGAAATCTCTGTCCTGCCCGCGATGGGGATGTGCTGGATGGTGGCACATTTGTAAATCATTTGCTGCACTCTAATCTCCATCCCGCAGGAGCCCAGTAAATTGATCCTATACTTTCTAAGCTAAGCTTAATCTTTCATTGTCTGTCCAGCGTAGCTCACAGAACAGCAAGCTCCGTGTTTACCGTGGACAATTCCAAGCACCCAAAGAGGGAATCACTGTTGGTGGAAAGTGCAGTTTCTATGGATATCTCCTAATTTCATTCTAGATGACATCATAAAGCGCCAGAGGAAAGAGCAGACAGATGCCAGCACCGCGGGCGACAGCAGAAGGCAGCAGGTCAAGAACAGAAGTTCAGCCTCCGGGTATGGGCGGCCCCGATACGGCGCCTGGAAGCAGAGGAATTTGCAAGGTAGATGGGCACTTGAGACAGCAGAGGCTGGCCAGGCTGGAAAATGCATTTTTTAGCAAATCCAGCTCTTAAATCCTTTTCCTATCCAATTTCTATGTGCATATAAGATGCACTCGGGCTCTGATTAGCTTTTCTTCCGGTAACAATGGAATATCAGGGCCCTTTCAGAGCATAATTCATCCATTTCTCTCCCTTCCACTCTCTCATGGATAACTTATTTAAAGTGACTTAATATCTATTCTCTATTCCCCTTGGCTTTGCATATTTTAATTATGCTTCTTCCTAATCCTCATTTTCCCAGAGCAGACTTTAATTATCCAAATTACCCCTTCAGTGACTGTATTTGATAGCTCAGTTATTGAAGCTAAATCGTTACTTTTGCCAAGCATGCTATTTTTATGGTGAGATTTTTTTATAATACTGAGTGATCAACACCTTTGTTTTGTTCCACTGGCTTTTGCATACAAACCAAAGTTATCTGCTGCATGAAATGCCATCTCTATGAACTTTTTTTTTCTTTTAATTACTGCTAAGTCACTCCCTGAAGATATTAGTGATATTTTGCAGAAATACCTTTGCTGTCTTGTATTGGAGTGCCAATCACACATCAGGACTGGGAGCAATCCTGCTTGTCTCTGCTCTGCCTCCCACCCTTGTTTTCTTGGTGCCCACCACAGAGTGCCTTACCGAGGATTGTTCCAGTTCAAAACATAATGATGATAAATGCCCTTAGCAATTGATTTTTCTATCAAAACTCACAGGCTTTGATATTCTCAAGCAATTGCTGCATCTAGAGGCAAATCCAATAATTTTTTTTTCCCTATTCCTTAGATGGGAGAATTTTTCTGTTAATTTATAGAATTATTTCTGCTAGCTTTAGTATTCCGTAGGTTTTCAGTGAGCCTGAATTCAGCCCTGCCAAGTGCAGAGACCTGTCATGCTGTGTGGTGATGATTTTCAGTAGCAATTTGGGGAAGCTCAGCATGACTGGGAATTTAGCCCATAATTCATCAGGGGCTCAGTTCACTTTGGTCCCTGCTGAAATGCAGTCCCTTCTGGGCTGAGGTGTGACAACTATTATCAAAATGATCTGAGGAGCCCAGCACTGTAATGACAGAGGGGGAAGTGTATTATGCTGATTAAACCAGCAAGCAAAGTGCTGTTAATCCCTTTTAGAATGTGGCTTAAACCTTCTCCCTAGTGGGGGAAAGATGATTTTTAATGACGAGAAGTTTGAATTTCAAATCTCCTTGGAAAAAAGAGTCTGTCAGACAATGGGAACTTGTGCCCAGACTGGACTGGCTGAGCAGAGGTGCCTTTTGGCCATTGCAGGTGTGCTCAGAACGAGGCTCTGAGCACACACCCAAGCATGGGAAGAGTGGGAGTGATTCTTCCTCAGCTCCTGACGCTGTGGGGTTTTATTGAAATGTTCTTACATTATTAAATATCTGCCAGACCTTCTGCAGACATGAAGCCTCCTACATGTCACACTTCAGGACACAGATGACAGAGCAAGGCCTAGGTCCCCAGCTGGAGCGCTGGGGTCTCCCTTGGAGGCTGCTGATGGCTCTGTCATTTGTTATTTGTGTTGGGTGAGCCGTGCCTGAGTGCGCTGCTGAGCACAGGCTCTCTAATAGGAACAGACTGACAGGGGCACGATTTTCTAGTCCAGGCTGCCTTCTGCAGCAGTCCCTTCCACTGCCCTGATGGAGTATCCAGGAAAGGCAGCTGAGCTCAGTCTCTTGTCCTCTCTAGAGTGTAGGAGAGCTGTGCAGCAAGGCTTGGTGGCCCAACAAATAGGCAAGAGGTAGGGACAGGCCCAGGGCAGCGGTTGAAGAGAAACAAAACAGGGCAAAAACAGGCCCAGGGAATAGAAGCAGGAGAAAAAGTCAAAGGGACATTGACTACAGCAAGTCTACATCTGGTCAGAAAGAAACAGTTTGCCAAAATTGAATGTTTGTCATGAGAGGAACATTTACACACCTGCACTTCTGCAGTGAGAAGGCACTGTCTGCAAAGGAAATAACAACTGACCCCAGAGCTTGTGAACTATGTTGCATTTTTGTGCACGTTCCTAACCAGCACCTCTGGCCATGGGGCACTAAGCACCTCAACATGGTGTTTGGGATCTGCTTCCCAAGGGCCTATGCTGGTGCCCTTTAGTTTTAGAGCCAGAGCAGCTGAAATCATCATCAAGCGTGTTCTGATGTAAGCAGGTCAGGCTGATGCTGGCTGGTGCTGCACCCTGAGGCTGGAGCTTTCATTCACTGTGGCAGTGGTAGCCCCTCACAGCAATTCCACTGCTGCCTTAGAACACTTCATTTCCAGTTGCTCCAAGTCAGTATAAATTGCTGTCAATGATGTAAGATCAATATATGCACCTCACTGTTCTGTGGTTTGTGTCAGTGAGGTTCTGCTGTAAGATCCAGGGTTGGAGTGCACTCTCACAGCCCTCTGTCATGCACAGCTTTGTGCCTGATTTTTACACCCCCAAGGTGTGGGCACGTCTCACTGCTGCAGCAGCTGTTGGGGGAGTGGGCTCAGAACAGGGGCTGTATGCTTAAGTGACCTTGCAGCTGCGGATAGCAGAGCCTGAAGTAGCAGTGAAGGAAACCACACGTCTGCTGCTGTTTGCCTTCCGTGCACATTGAGAAGTAGATCATCTGGTTATAGATAATGGAGGTGTTTGGTAGACTTGGGGGCACCCTTCTGGGCGTGCTTGAGCTCTCTGCCTTGGTACAGAGCTCAGAACACAGCGTGGTTGTGACTGCAGGCAAACCCTTGATAAACTGGTGTGAAGGGCAGCTTGGTGATTATCCAGCACTGGGCCAGCCTTAATGGTGCTGGTGACTCTGCCCAAGTGGTTCTGCTTAGGTGTTGCTTCAGGTCTGCTGGTTTGTGAGGTAACAGAAATAAATTCCCTCTTGGCATTCCAGCTGTGAGTTTGTGATTGTTGTTGTTGTGCCTGTGTCAGCTCCCACAGTGACTTAGAAACTTGCTGTCTCATGGTTACAGAATTTTATTATTGGAGTAATTAGGTTTGGAAGCACTGTGCCTCAGTCTGACAGGGCTTTCCTCTCACTCAACACTTCATCACTCTTCAAAATCATCAGCAGACTTAGGGGAAAAGGTTAAATGCAAGATGGACAGTGGGTGTGTGTATCATAGAGATACACACAGAGCAGCAGGAGGTGTCCCCTTCAATAGGAGAAGTAATGGTGTGTCAAGCTAAAAGAAAATAGAAGTATATGTATATATAAATAAAAATTATACTATGATGTGGACCCTCAGAGCTATTTCAGGCTGCTGTGGAGTTGGCTTTGGGAGGCTTAAGTCCTGTGTTCATTTGTATCTAAAGGCTTTTCCTGTTTCATAGTTAATTCATAGCAGTGTGAGCTCTGACAACAGATTGACAGGTCTCCTGATGTGGGTGTTCCTGCCTTTATGAGGAATCAGAATTGTGAAAGGCTTTTCTCCTCTGTATTCTTTCACATCAAATAATGTGTCTGGAAGTCCTATATACAATAAGAATGCTAGAGAGACATCGGAAAAATTAATTATTTAATATGAATGAGCGTGACTTTTGCATCACTATTCGTGTAGATACTCCTGTATCACATAAAGTTAACCTTGTGATCTGTTTACAAAACTGTAGTCATAAATCGAATTTTGAAGCATGCTAAAGTAAGAGGGCTTTGTTTTTAGGACCTAACCGTTTCAGAAGAGGCTTTGGACAGCAACAGTTCAATCGGAGACAATTCAGGAATACTTTGCCTGGTCGCAAGAGAAGAGCAGCTGCTGCATTCGATGGAATGAGCCCTTTAAATCGCCAGGCATCGGCTCAGGAGGTAAGGGAATAAGGAAGGCATGGCTTTTCCCAAATGTCACGTAGAAATCTGCTTGATTTTATGATCCTGGATCACCCCAAAGAACAATCTACATAAAAAACACCATAATTTAATGCCTGTACACAGTATTTGTATGCAAAGGTCAGTACAGATATATATGCATATGGAGTAGCAATTTTCCAGTTGTTTTTATAAAGCTTCTGACTTAGCATAATTTTACTGATCCATGGGTTTTGCAAAAAAAAGATTTTTTAAAAATTGCTCTTAAAAGGTTTAAAAATGTCGCCATAAAAATTAATTCCATGGCATCTCATCTTACTATTATCATATAGAGGAGGTGTGTTAAGATTCTTTGTTATTTGTTCTCCCAGAGCATTTTCCAAGTTCTTGTGAAGTCAAAGGACAGACTTGGTGACTTGTCAGGTGACTGGTTCAGAGACATACTTTCTACCAGAGACACTGATTCCTAGTACTGTGGCAGATAGTATGAGAGGCAGCTGGGTTTTCCTGCACTGATGAAAATCCACTCAGTTAGGAGGTCATAGATGTTTAGTAAGCTTTTTAAAGAAATGCAAGTGCTGAACAGGATGGCACATTTAGTGAATGTGTTGTAGGAGTATGAATAAGAAAGCCCTAAACTGAGCATGCATGTGCAAGGAGTGAGGTTATTCCTGAAAAGAAACACACTCAGATATTGAGTGTGGCTGGTATTTACAGAAAGTAATAAGCAGTTGCTAGGAAGCAGAATTCTACAGCTTCCACTTTGCAGGAATAAACCAAGAGGGAAGAATATGGAAATACACCTCAGTTAGTGGGTACTAACAGTGATGGTAGTAGTCCCACAGAAATAAACAGGCTGGAGCCCGGGGCAATTTGTATTGAAACTGCAGGAGGGACACTGCTGAAGGGTCTTCTGGTGTGTTTCATGCATCAGGGTGTGGTCCAGGCAATGCTCGTGTCCAGACAAAAACAGCTGATGACCAAAAGGAAACCTGAGCAGGGCTATAATGCATGGCTTCTATGAGATTTGCTCTGCATAGACTGGTTTTTTTTTTCTTCTTCTTTGATTTCTGCAGCATTAGAACGAAACATTCTCCCTGGCACTCGTAGTACGTGTCCAGGAAGCGAGGCATGCCCCCTGACTGATTGTTGACAGCAGTGTCAGCAGCAGTCAGAGGAGAGCAGGACCTTGTGTGCCGTCCCTTGCCCTCACCCCCGTTCTTGTACCAAGATTGTGCTGCAGGTGACAACTGCTGAGGTCTCATTGCTCTTTCAGGGCAACAAGAAGAGCAATGTTTTTGCCAAAAGCAGCAGTGGGCAGCAGGAGGAGCAGCCACAGCCATCTCCAGGCCCCAAGAGATTCAGAACAGATGCTGCCAGCATCCGTGCCCCAGGGAGAAGGTAAAATCTTTGGTAACTCTGGGTTGTTTTGGTTTTCAGTGGTTTTTACCTCTGCAACTCATGGGATTCCTCTCTCTACATGTGCTAGCTGGGCGTGGCTACAGCCATGTGCTTGTGCAGCACCAGAAAAATACCCCTGGATATGTTAGGAAGGCACCTGGAAAACAAATAACCTCATGCTCATAGTTAATAATACCGATATTAATCTATAATTTTATTTCAGGAAGCACAGAAACTGTGACCTTTGTATTTTTATTAAACTTCATCGCTTTGGGAAACACTTTTGAAGGGTAAAATAGCATTTATTTTCATACAAGCAGGAAATAGAGATTCCAGCCATAAGGGATGGGCAGAAACAGGGAGTCTGTTCCAGTGAGGGGCTGCAGGAGCAGACTGTGCCCCAGGAGCTGGGAGGAAGGCAGTGTGCCAGGTGCTGGGCACTGTCTCAGTGCCTGTCTCATCGAGATCATTATGTTCTCTGAGCTCAGAAGGAAGCTCCTTGCAATCCTTCCTCTGCTCTGAGCAGAACAGGGACTGAATAACATCGAGAAGTCCTTTCTGACCTGATTTTTTCTATGATTTTCCTCACATGTTTTTTTATTTTAATGAGCAAAGCTCAGAACACACCAATTGTTGCCTCATTTGAGCAGAAAATCAAGTTCCTCTGAAATCCTTTGCTGCAGAAAAACCTGTTGGGCTGAACTTGATAACACACAGCCTGATTTGCTTCTTACATTGCTTTTTAAGACCAGCTTAAGTTAAGTATTTTGGCATTAAATGTTTGAGAGACCTGATATCATCTTTACTTCTTTCTCTCTCTCCTTTACCATCAGGCCTTTCCTGCTGAACAGGGGACCAGTGTTCCAGCAGAAGCGGGTGCAGCAGTGGTTCTCCAAAGCCCGCTTCCAGAGAGGGGTCAGTATTTGAGATGTTTCCTTTACAGTCTGCTGGTAGTGACAAATCTTCACATTTTACCAGCCTTTGCCCACTTGTAGCTTTGCTTCCAAAAGCAACTGGGGGAGAGAGGTGGATGACTTCAACGCTGCATGTATTGGTAGGAATATTTTATTTGCAGGCAATTTTTAATGCAGCTTGGTATTCTGGCAGCTGGGAAGTAAATCCTGGGAGGGTGATAAAAATAAACCTTGCAGTTTATAGAGCAGCACAAGCAGGGCAAGGTAAAGCCACCCCATACACATCACTATGCCAGTGGGAAACTCCAGATTAGCACATTTCTTGACAACTTGAAAGGAAAGAGCTCTTCAGATACACCAAATAAAATGCTGGAAAAGGAATCACTGTTTCGGAGAGCTAATTCTTTGAAGTAATTGTTTTTAAATATATTTTACAGCAGATGGATTCTCAAGGAGAAGGGAAACCGCTAAGGATGAGAAGGTAATTGGTGAACAAAGGCACTATGCAAATACGAGCGTGCTGTTTCGGGATTGAGGCTGGATAAATCTCCCTGTCTCGGCAGGTGGCAAGTGAAACCCAGCCCGGGAGCAATTCTGACGGTTTCTGTGGTTAATCCCCAGGCGGGCCAGACCAGCGGGTAAGTAAATGAGGTGATTTGTTAGGATGGGAGCCCTACAAAAGCCATTGCAAATCCCTTTAGCATTATTGCAGATTCGCTTCTGTAATGAGAGTACACTGAATGGTTCAGACCCAAAATGGTTAGTAAATTATGTCTGGTTGCTTTCCCAGCATATCAGAAGGAAATAAAAACCTCCTGTATTTACCTGTAATTACATGGTAATCTGTAATTACCGTGCCTTCGTTTGTTATGCAGAGTGAGGAGAAATGGAAGCACTATTGTGGCAGGCTGGTTGTGCTGGTTGTGGGGTGTTGGGAGAAACAGTGTGCCCTAAAGGGACACCTCGTGCTCGCTGTGTAAGAGGAGTTCAGTGGAAAGGGGCAGCTGCAGGACCTGGCACCCAGCTGGGGGCAGAGAGAAGGATGAGTGAGGGCCCTGTGCATGTTCTGGATGTAGAGAGCACCCCTCAGTACCCTGTATGTGACAGTCCCCAGTGCTGGAACTCTTTGGCTGCACAGCTGCTCTCCTAGTTGGCTTTTGACTCTGCTGGGGGTCAGACACGCCATGGGATGGGTGGAGTGTGTGGGTGTGTCCTTTACTCCGAGCTGGTTTGCAGAGGATGGGAAGTGAGCTGCCTTAGCATCCTGAGTGACTGCAGCTCTCTGCTTTCCCCAGGCCTGGATCCAAGCGCCCATTCCTGCGAAGCCAGAGACCCCCAGCACGGGTCACCAAGCCCCAGCCCAAGGGGGTGCTGCTGAGATTCAACTTCCGCGCCATGGCCAACCAGGTAGAGGATTGTCGACGGGACAGGAGGCACCTGGCTCCCTGCAGCAGCCCTGCCACTGAGCTGTTAACGTCACACTCAGGTTTCTGGGGCTGCCAGCTGGGTTTATCTAAGACAACCTGTGAGGAAAGTCCTGTAGCTGTGTTGGCCAGGTTGCTCAGAAAACGGAAGGCGCTTGAGAAGACTGTTCAGCAACTACAGACTCAGCCCAGTTTTCCCCACCCTGATGGCCTGTCTTGGCCTGTCCATGTGCTTGCTTGGAGCAGGGAGGTCCTGCTGATGAGTAGTCCTGGTCAGAGGGGACTGTTTCACTGTCAGTGCTTCCCATTCCTCAGAGACACGTGGCACTTTTGTGCTTTGCTCGCTCTTTGCTTTGGTGCCCTTCTTGGTGTCACATTTTGCACTGAAGTATGGTCCAAGAGCCCTGGGGCATCTGACAAATCCTGCTCTACCTTCTTCATTGCCGGCGTTTCTTGTCTGGACGGTTTGGTATTACTTGATGCCTTGTGCTCAAATGCCATCTGCTTGCTCCTGTTCTTGCCGAGGATGCCCTGTGTCTGGGGCTGGGAGCTGCTTGGAGGTTTTCCAGCCGCACACAATCTGTCGAGCTCCCTGTCTTTGTGTGCTCAGTGGTTTAATTGACTAACCAGCTGTGAAACACCAGCCTGACTGATGGGTTCTAATCAATACCCCGCTACGAGTTTGTCTGTGCTTTGCCACAAGACAAGGGACTGACTTGCTCTCACTTTCCCCTGCAGACCAGCCTGACGCTGGATGAGAGGTTCTCTGGTCTGAGGAATAAGAGGCGCTTTACAGCGGCCAGGAGCGCCGGACGGACGGTCACCATGCCGTAGGACTGCGTGCTCGTCACAGGGACTGCCTGTGACAGTCCAGGCTCCATGACAAGGGCTCAATAAAAGTTGCTAGATTCCCTTTGAGATAGCTGATTTGGCAATGTGCTGTCTCCTTCCTTACACACAGAGTGAATGAGTGATGGAGGGCAGGGGGCAGGGATGAGGCAGGATGAGAGTTTGGGCCAGAGCATAGGGCAGGTGGGACATGGGCAGGGTGGTGGAGGGGGATGGGCGGAGATGGATTTGCTGGGAGAGCTCTGCTGGGAAGCTGTAGGGCTGGCACCAGCCCTGTCCCCCTGTGCTGACCAGGATGATGGCTGATACGGGGAGGGTGTACTGGGAGGGTGTAAGGAGCCTTCCATACATTGTCTGGTGGGTGAGACAGGGTTAGAGGATGCTGTGCCTGCCCACATGGGAGACAGAGGGAAGTGGGGGTGCTCTAGCTACCCACAATCCCCAGCGTCCAATTAATTGCCCAACTTGTGCTTGCAGGCATCCCTGCCCAGAGGTTTGCAGTGTAAGACCCCTCCACTCTGAAAATCTGTTGCTTTGCCCTGACAGTCAGGCCTGAGGACCTTGCATTTCTCTGTGGATTGCTGTGCTGTTCTGACTGCTGCTGCAGGGATGGGGTGAGATGTGCCATGCCGTGCTGCTGGAGTTACTGTCCTCAGCACGGAGCACAGACAGGCTGCCCCAGCCCAGATCACATTTTCCAGTGCTGAGTAGTTCTGCATTAGGGTTTTTGTAGTTGCAGCTCCACCCATGCTCAAAGAGCAGCATAATCAAACCAGCAGTAGCACTCTGATAAACATTGGCTGAGATGTTAATGAGCTGGGTTTAGACATTTGTTAATGAAGCCCTGCATCAACCCTGAGTAACTGCTCCATTCTCCATCCACTGCTGGAACCCAGCACTGAACATGCTGGACACAGCCTGTTACTGGGCTCTAAGCTGTACTTACAACAGGAAATATTTGATAGACTGCTTTACATTTTACACCGAGCATCTTTAACAAAAGACTGGACTTGAAATTGTTTTTATAGGAATGTGTGAAATGTTGTTAGTTGACGAAGCAGAGATGTATGAGTCCAGTGCACTGAATAAAAAAACTTAACTTGTCAAATGTCACCTCTGTTTATTTCCTTTCCTTCAACAGCTCTTTGGTGCAAGTTCAGCTTCTCAGTGTGACACTGCATGGGCTGGTGCTTTGGAGAAAACTGGTCCCCACTGGTGCCCACCTGCAAGCAGTTTACTGTTTAAAAGCTGGCTTCAAAGCAGTGTGTTTTCCATAGGTATTTTGTAAAATCTTTTCTGTGATCTCTTACTCCTTGAATGTTATTGGCAAAATTATCAGAGCAGTCCTGGCTCTGAGTATGTTCAAAGTTAAACAAGTGCACCCCAATGCCCAGGTTAGTGAATTCTGGAGGAGGCATCACCCCTTCATGCAAATAATCTGTATGCCATGGAAGTTGAAAAGCTGAACAAGAAACACTGTCACAAATAGCAGTATCCCTGATTTCAGTTGCCTCCTGACTATAAATATGGACAGAAGAGGGCAGACTCACTAGGAAAACCTGAGTACTTCTTCAATCAGGTTGGAAAGGGATGGAGCCATTCAGACCTGAAAGAACAGCCAAGTGGGAAACATCCCCTTGCTGTTCAGATCGCACCCTGATTCTATTCTCCAAGGAAATGTTTTTCAGCAATCTGTACCTTACAATCTTTCAACCTCTCCTTAAATTAATATTGAGGGCTTAGGAGATAAAATGCTTTTTTTCCTAGCTTGATTCCCTTGCAGTGATGGGTGACTTTTTCTGTAGCAGGAGATAAAACAGACTTTGCACTGAATTCACAAGTAGCCAAAATGCATAACCATCATGCTGAAAACATACTGGGAGAGGGAACAGAGTGAGCTCAGCCCCACAGGCATAAAATACCCCTTTCTGTCACAGTACTAAACCCACAGAATGATTGTCCCTAACAGAATTATCCCTGCTGTTGTGCATAGTGTGAATTTCTGCATGGGGCTTGCCTGTCTTAAGGGGAGAGGGTATTCGTGTGACACAGTTCAGCTGCTTCCTGAGCCATCGCCAGGGGCACACGTGGCCTGTACTCATCCAGTGTCTGACAGTTCCCGTGCACAATCCTGTGCAGGACAGGTGGCCCAGGAGTTCCCCACCTGGAGAGTGGCAGCAGCTGGCTTAGCCAAGCTCCCAGCCAGGGTGGCTGCACAAAGGCTGGGGCCACTGTGAGGGGGCAGCTCTGTGACCTGGAAAACTATATTCTGTTTCAGGCCAGGCAACAGCACCTCCAGAGTAACATTTCCAATAGTTGAGAAGTTTAAAACTGTAGAAGCAATTGCACAGGGCTAGAAGAGAGGGCAGGGGGGACACCAGCATAGGTGTGTATCCCTGCTTGGTCACTGCACTGAACCTACAGCACCACTAACGTGTGTCTTTAGCCACTTGTATCATTGTATTTCACAGCACTTGGTGGAGGATTCTTCCAGTATTGCTTTTTGCCTCCTATTTATCTGTGATTACAAAGGGGCCCTGCTCTGCTTCACTCTTGCCAGCTACAGAGCCACCGTGCATCCTGCTCCATGTCTGCAGGCAAAATCATCCTGCACACTTGGCCCAACACCATTCTGAGTTTATTCACCCTCCACCCTCTGGCTGGAACCTCAACCAAGGGCAGCAGCCAGCAGTGTTTATGCAGGTTTGCCTTGTATTTTCTTGTTGTGAATCCAGGAAATGGTTGGCTTTTTCAGGGCAAGAGCAGAAGCTCTGGCCCAGCCAGGTTGACATAGGTATTCATCTGAAAGCTTGACTCCCACAGCCCCCATAAGTACCCACAGCTAAGGCCAGAGGAAGCAGACAGCCACACTATTTGCAGGTGACAATGGGACCCCTTTTTCCCCCACAGCTGCATTTTGCAACCAGAGCTTTTTGCTGGAAGGGCAATCTGGGTGATTCCTAAATCCACACAGCGCTGCACCTCAGGACTGAACCCTTCCTTCACTCTTCAGGACCTGTTCACTGATCCTGGCTCATTGGTTCTAGTGCCCTTCCTCACACCTTCGCTGTGCTGTACTCCATGCAGCTAGAGCGAAGCGAGAAGGACGTGAGGAAGAAGAAAGCGTTCTTAAAGTAGCCCCCTGGCAGCAGCCCTGAAAGGGCACATAACACACGGCGTCTCGCTGCCCTCCATTCTACATACTCGCGGCTCCCTTTGCCGACTTGCAAAAGTTGTTACCAGAGCACAGGCGGCCAGATTGAAGAGGCAGTGCCTAGGTTCTACTACCTTCTACTACCTTCTGCTTATTGCACGTAAGCCACGTCCAGCTCCTCGCTGCACTCTGGATTTCCCTTCTCCGAGGCACTTACTGTGGTGCTGTGTGCAACTCGGTGCCTAGAAGTGACCGCCAATGCTTTCACAGTGGGCTGCAAGGGAACCAAGGAGCAGCACAAGCAGCAGTGCTTCAGCTTGCTCCTTCCGACTGCTAAGGGCACTTGGGAAGGCAAGCGA